TCTCAGACTTGCTCTGCCCTTACAGTAGGATTTACCACGCACACAATGCCCCTAAATTCCACACCCCCACAGTTCATAACACCTCTGCAGCTGGGGACTCCACCACAAAACAGTGAATTTACCTACCTGGTGTTTTATCCATTATATATATATATTTTTTTTTTCCCTCATAGCATTAGTTCTTACTCATCACAGGAGCCACCATACCCCCATACATATTCCTCCCCCTCCAGATCCAGACCAAGTGCCTCTCAGATCTCCCTTTTGTATATTCCCCACTAATTTAAACCAATCCCACCCATTAGAAGAACAGCTGCTTTTCCAATTAGCTCTCACCACAGTAAGAAGGGCACCTCACTGCCCCACCCTCAAAGTAGTTAGGTTTGATAAGAAAGCACAGAACTAAGCTTTGTGCTGCTAGCCTTAGGTTCCTCTGTTTGTTTTTCCTATCCTGAGGGTGTTTTCTTTTTAAATTAACACTACAAAAGTGAGTAGATGGTCGTTAGAGAGGTACTCAGACCTGTGCTTCTTCTTCACTGCATCCAGACCAGTGGGTGGGCTTTGGCAGCAAGATGCGTTGAGCTGGTCACTTATCGCCGCTGCTGGAAAGAAATGCTTCTGCACTGCTCAGTCTGTGCTTTTAGTCCTAGCAGCTGAAAAAACAGAGATTAGGTGAGGCGTAACCGACTGCATCAAGGCATATATTGAAGTTATATATTGGAGTTATATATCACTGCATTTGCATTACTTAATGGAGGAAGGGTGTACTATGTGAATGACAGTGCCCTATGTCTGTGTTTCAATGTCCAACCTCCCTCACTGTGTGCTTCTGTCTTCTGATGGGTGAATGGTCGGCACGGCCATGCGAGAAAGAGTTGACCTGCTATTAATTATCGCAATGACTGCTTATTTGTTTCAGTTTCTGCAACAACAGAGTGCTATATGATTTCCAAGCACATTTAGCAATCCCTTGCTGAAATGATTTTTAAATACAGTTTGTGGATTTTATGACAGAGAGAAGTTAAAAATACTATATTCACTAATGCCATTGTTTCCCTCTCCTCTCAGAAATCACAACTCATGTACATGTGCATTTTGCTCTTGAAAGAAGTTCTTTACAGCTGCACAGCCCAATAGGAAGCTTTTTTGACACGCAAGAGACCACAGCTGCTTTATTTTTATGGGCTCTTCATGAACACAAAGTAGTTTGACAGAACTCTGACAAACAGCACTGGATAATTCCAGCACTTGTGCGCCCCAGAAATACATTTTTCCACAAAAATTCCTACTCGGAGGTCAGAAGAAACAAAAATCCCGTTTTGCTTCTTTTTAAACTTTTTCTGACCACTCATTAACAAGGAAGCACACTTGTGACACCTTTCCAATTAAGTCTGCCAATCTACGCGGGGCTAGAAATGAGGAGCACTGCTAGAAAGAGCAACTCGTGCCTTGGGATGGTTGAGGAGATCTGAAAGGACCCTCAACAGAGATAAAGTTACACTGGAGCTGAGGTCACCTCTGTATTGTGGGCAGTTTTGCTTTGGAGCAGCTCGAGCCCGGTTCCTACGTCACACATCGGAGTCCTCCAAAGCTGGATGCACCCCATGTGACAGCGAACGGAAGTGTTTTCTTTGGAGGTTTCCAATGCGCTCAGCTCTCTGAACACAAAGCTTGACTCATTCACTGCTACTCCATTTTTTAAGCACTGTTCTTTGGGCCCTCACGGGCTCCTGAGCTCTTCCCCTCCATTCTAACACCCACTGCCTCCGCCACGGGAGCCTGCCTTGGTGAGATGGCAACACCTCTCAGGTGTTTGGGTTGGTTTTGGTTTTGTGCGATTTCACCCGGTTTGATTTCAGCCAGCTTTGCCTCACCCGTCATCGCCCACTGCTCCTGTAAGCCCGGCAGCGATTGGTCAGCCCCACTTCCAGCCCAGCCCTTTCTCCCCACAGTGATTGGCTCATCGCTTAAACCGCCATCATTTTTTCCACCTCTGATTGGGCGGCTCTGCAATCATTCATTTGCCTTCGGACGCTTCGATTGGCTGCGAGAAGGACGAGCGGAGCCGCGGGCCTCGGCGGTTTGTGGCGCCTCTGTCGTTCCCCGTTCACCGCGCCTTTCAGCTGCCCGTCCAATGGAGCTCTCCTGCCAGGCGCTGCGAGCCGCGCGCCAGGCGAGGGAGGCGGTAAGAACGCCAGGCCGCGCGTCCGGTTGCTATGGGAACAGCACTGGGTTCTGCGCATGCTCAGCGGGCGGGGCGCAGAGCGCAGGCGCTGAGAGCTGACTTGATGACTTCCTGGGGGGGGGTGCGGGCTGTGTTGTGACGTGGGAGCTGTTGCTGCACTTGGACAAGTAGCAAACTACTGAGAGTGCATTCAATTCCATCATTTGTGCCACTGATAAGAGTACTGGTCCCACACGGGCCGCTGAGATGTACCACATGTAACCAGGTGCCACTTCGACATAGAGCTATTGACAACAACCCCTTGGCTGTGGTCATCCAACCAATTCCTTATCCAGCAGATAGCCTGTCCTTCAAACTCTCATCTCTCCAATTTAGAGATAGGAGTGTGGTGCGGGACCATGTCAAAGGCCTTGGACAAGTCCACACAGGTGACATAGCCTGCCCTTAGTTTGTCCACTAGTGCCTCCACTCCATCATAGAAAGTTACCAGAATGGTGGGAAGATTCAAATTCTGCTGCCATACCAACAACAACCACATCTGACATCATGGGCCAACATAACAAATTGGGAGGCACTACTTTTGGAGCATCCCGTGTGGATGGTGTATTTATCCAGGAGTGGGGGGGGGGCTTCATGACAGTCCCTTCCTGGGCCCAGATACACAGAATCACAGAATCACAGAATGGCCCTGGTTGGAAGGGACCTCAAGGATCACGAAGTTCCAACCCCCTGCCACACGCAGGGCCACCAACCTCCACATTTCAGAGCAACCCAGGCTGCCCAGAGCCCCATCCAACCTGGCCTTGAACACCTCCAGGGATGGACGGGGCATCCACAGCCTCTCTGGGCAGCTGTTCCAGCACCTTACCAGTCTCTCTGTAAAGAACTTCCCCTGACATCCAACCTCCATCTTCACTCCCTCAACTTCAAGCCATTTCCCCTTGTCCTGCCGTTATCTACCCTTTCAAATTGTTGACTCCCCTCCTGTTTGCAGGCTCCCTTTAGGTACTGAAAGCTGCCATGAGGTCACCCCGCAGCCTTCTTTTCTCCATGCTGAACAAGCCCAGCTCCCTCAGCCTGTCCTCGTAGGGGAGGTGCTTCAGTCCCCTGATCATCTCTGTGGCTCCTCTGGACCCTCTCCCAACTTGAGGGCTTAGGCAGCACAGAAGGGATCTGTTTTGAAATCTCCCCAGTGGGGATTTGTGAAAATTATTTCAAAGAATAAACTATAATGAACGTAGTCCAGCTGCAGGAGTGGGTGTTCACAATTGTATAACTGAATTTGTACAAATTAGAAGGAGTTAATTCTTTCTAATTAATTTGTAAACTCAGCATCTTTAATTTGTGTTATTTGTGTTATTTGTGTCCTTCACACAATCATACATATTCACACCAAAATTGGGACCAAATACTAATGAAATACTATATAATAAAATTAGTCTTTTAGTAGCCCAATCAGTTTGAAGGAATTGCACAAAACTAAGTTGATTCTTGACGTAAATGCATTTTAGTAAAAGGGATGGAAATAACAAAATGAATTCAATTAAAAAATACGTGGTTCTGCTAGAATTTACTTTCAAATGCCTGCTAAGAGAGGAATATGTTGCATGCTTTTGTTAAGTAAGAAATAAATAAAATGTTCTCTAACTGTTGGAGATAATTGGTTAAGTGCTCAACTGTGTAGTTTTTAACAGAAGATCACACTTAAGTGCCTTAAGCTTTTATTAATTGCATGGACCCCTAAATCCCCTGTGGTAATTGAAAATGTAATTACATTCATTTTTTGTTCTTTTAAGAATAGAAGCTTATTAAACTTTAAGCACTCAAACATCCTCTGAAATACCAGTGGCTCTAAACAACGTGCAATTCCAACTACTAATTAAACACTATAAAGCTAAGCTGAATTTTAAGTAACTTTGCACTCAGAAGTTCTCCTGTTTTTTCACGCAGCAGCAGATTTACCATTTCCTCTCTACACGCAGCTGAAGTCCTGCAGAAGTAGGAAAACATCCACAATTCAGAATGTTTACTGAATATCAGCAGTTTGGAAAAGTGAAAGTGAAAGATCCCTCTACAGCAGGATGCTGATGAGGAACCATTGCTCATGAGCATGAACTGGTTCCTTTCTTTTTGCAGCACCTCACTGGAATACACCACCAGCCCCTTTGATTCCTTTGTCTCCAAAGCCAGAAGGAAAATGTTACTGATCTGTTTAGTAATACGTAAAATACATTTCCAACTAATAAGAAATGTTCAAACCAACTCCCGGCCCTTCCTCATTTTTCCACCAGATGGCCCCACGCCCGCAGGAAAATCACGGAAATACCTGTTCTGCTCAGCCACTGTTTGCTTGCTCTACCCAGTGCCTTTTGCTGGTTGTGCTATCTCAAATGTGCACCTTTGCAGGATGCTGTATGTTATTCTGTAAGAACCCTACCCCACAATGCCCAGCAATGTGAAGCTGGTGGAGATCCACAGTCACAGCAAGGCCATAAGTTATTTGTCAACCTGAGTTTTTTGCTTTCTTCTAGGAGCAGTTTTCCACCCATCCAGTAGCTCTGATAACGTGTAAGAAAAATAACATGAAAGCCACATGAGTTCTGCTTATTAGCAGTGCATTGTTTTGCAGTTCTTGCATGCTGTTGCCTTGATCTTTTTCCATGGGCTGCACTGAGATGCTGTTTACAGCAATAAAGTGAACATTACATCTGATCTCAAGTCCTGTCTTCATTCACAGGATGAGCTGAGAGCAGAAGGCCGGCGGAAGAATCTCCTAATTCTCATCTTGCATTACTTAATGGAGGAAGGGTATGTTATCTAAGCAACAGTGCCCCACATCTGTGTCAACATCTGACCTCCCACTCTGTCTTCTGATGGACAGCACAGCCAAGCAAGAGCTGATCTGCTATTAAATATCTTGATGATTCTGCTTATTTGTTTCAGTTTCTGCAGCAACAGCATCCTGTGTCATTTCCAAGCACATTTAGCAATCCCTTGCTGAAAGGATTTTTAAATTCAGTTTGTGGATTTGATGACAGGTAGAGGTTAAAAATACCATTTACTTACTAATGCCATTGTTTCCCTTTTCTCTCAGAAACCACAATGAGGTAATAATTCACAATATTGTGTTCTGTAGTAACTCACAACTTTCTGTTCTGTACAAGTCACAGCTTTTTGCTCATTGCTTTCTTGTAATTACCAGGTACATGGATGCTGCAAACACTTTGGAACGAGAGACAAAATTAGGTTTACGTGGCTTTGAAGTTTGTGACAACGTTGACCTTGAGACAATTTTGATGGAATATGAAAGCTATTACTTTGTAAAATTTCAAAAGTATCCTAAAATCACAAGGAAGGTCCTGGACACCGGTATGTATTCCAAAAGAAAGCCCTTTTTTTCCATCAAAACCTAAAATGATACCCTCTTGGCACTTCTGTACCTCTGTGCTCACTGCATGAATGCTCTTACTATACTTGTAGGACATGCACTAAAGGTGATGTGCCAAACAAATAGTTGGCTTATTTTCTCCCGAGGGCTTAAGGGCTTAAAGGTGTGAGATATAAATGAATGATGCAGAATAAGGCAAACCAGAACATGAGCATTCTGTTACAACTCTGAGAGCCTGAGTGGTTCTGTGCTTGGGCGCAAAATGTGACGTATGGAAGTCCTAAGAAGTCAGTTCTGAAGAGCTTGGAGGGTGCAAAAAACACCAATATCTCTTCCTGCACTTCTTGTAAGAAAAAAAATAAAACTAAAAAAATCAGCAGGATAGGGGTGAGGGTGTGGGAGTATCTCTGAGCAGATTTCAACATTTCATATGTCTGAGAGCAACACTGAGATCCAAAGGAAATGGAGTTTCTTGGGTTGGGAGGACCCACAGGGACATTCTTGTTTTTGCATCACTATTTCCAAGATCATTAAAATATGCTCCAAAATATTTCTGAGAGGGAAAGAAAGCAAGTTGTTATTTTTTAAAATTCTGTGTCTTAATTCCCTTTCAATATTGATTTTGCCACAGCAGAAAATAAACAGCAGCTGGGAACTGGAAGAAGGCAAAGAAGGTAAGGAGAATGCATGGGGCTTTTTCCAAGCAGGACATTTTCCTCTAAGAACAACATACAGCACAGTTATAATAATGTTGTTCTGAAGTAAGAAAGAGGTTGTGAATGCCTTTGAAGCCTTAATTTGTTGTATTGTAGGGCAGCGAGCTCTCAGAATCTCCCAAGGATCAAGCAGCAGCCGATGCAACAACCATCATCAAAAACCTCATTGGGGAGTACAGAACTAAAATCACCCACCAAAGAGAGCCCCAAACAGGTTGAAATGTGTTTAATCTTGGCAGCATTGCATTTGAGATCGGTGGGATTTTATCTGGAGTAGCTAGAGTCAGTGAGATGACCATACAATGTTTGTGACTTCGGGATTTTCCTAATTCTGCAATTTAAGCAGTATAGAATCACAGAATCATTAAGGTTGGTAAAGACTAACATCATCAAATCCCACATCAATGAACATCATTGACTACAGAAGAGAAATTGCTTTCTAGCTGTCAGCTGGGGGGGCAGGTCACAAATCAAAATCAGAGGAAGAGAAGTCATGTAACTCAACTTATGTGAAATCAGTGGTCTTTCCGTTAATTTAAGCACTCACCATTAATCACCCTTGTAAAAATGTAGCTCTTGAACAACCATGTATTGTCTTAAAATGGTTGTTTTTTTCAGAATAATGAGAGCACAGTAACTCTGGAGCAACCTGACTTTGGCTTAAGCATCTCAGCAATCAACAGAACTGGAGGAGGAGGAGAAGGCCCTCCCCCAAGAAGGGTTGGTGGAATCCTAAACTGCTTTATGATAGCAGTGTATGCAGATTCCTCAGTCAGCTGTTTCCCGTATTTGAAATCTGCAGCAAAGAATCTAATTGCTTTAGTGTTAAGCACAATTTTGACCCAGCGTGTTTTTAATAGTGGAGCTACCATCCCTATCACATTATCTTCTTCTTTAGGGCCAAGTAGTTGACTTGCATGGGATGGTCCAGGATGTCAAAGTATCCCCAAATGGAGTAGGTTTAAACAGCCTTACTTGGGATCCAGACCCATCGGTAAGTGTTCCTTTTTGAATTTCCTCTCAGCTTACGTTAAAATAAGGCTTATATAACCAGGAACAAAATAAAATACCACCGTGATGCTTCCAAAGTGCTACAGAAGGTCTTGGGTTTTGGAGTGGTGTATTTCTTCCTTCAGTCATTCCTGATGCTGCCTGACTTCTTGACAGTTTTGTTGGCTCTTTGAACACAAAAGTAGGCAGCAGATACAAACTGTGCCTTATGATTCAGAACCCACAGTACTTCAGTGGCTGGGCAGTTGCTGCACTTGAAAGTTTCAAAACAGAGTCTGTGGCAATGTGATGATGTGCCTACATTTTTCACTTAATTTATGTATGGCATGTTCAGGATTACATCTGCAATAAGACCCGTTCATTTCCATGTTAACTTGGGGTTAGGTTCTGTCAGTTGAAAAGATGAGTTACTACCAATATGGCTTGTTTCAAAAGCATTATTCTTACCCATATTATACATCTTTCAAAGTTGCTATTGCTATGATGCACCGTTTTATTTCTGAAACTATTTTACGGTTTATCTATTTAAAAATAACTGAAGTCTGGTAAGAATTTTTTTTTTTTAATTTTAGGAACGCTTACTGAAACCCCTTAGTGCTTTTATTGGCATGAATGGTGAGATGAGAGAACTTGCAACTGTTGTAAGCAAAGTAAGGTCGGATTCTTACTTCATTTGTACAGAGATCTTGGCTATCTTTGTTAGCTGGAAATGCTGTTTGTTGCTTTATGATATGCTTTTTAAGGGATATGTTTTTTAAATTGCCTAGTTGCTATGGTAATCATCACTGTGTAAATCAATAAAAATAAATAGCATGTAGTATCTATTTCACAGCACAATCTAATTTAATTTGGAAACAGTTATGGAAGCTTCTACTTGGTGTCATAAATCTGATTCATCTTAATTTGCTGTTAATAGATAGGGAAAGTGTAATCTACTCTATATAAATAATTTTTCTAATTGTATTAAATCAAATTTTCCCCTTGGACACAAGCACATAATTTTTCTTCAGTCTCTGGAGCCTGCCTGTTTTTATTAGAGAGCTGAATGTATCCCAAGTACTTATACTGAGGATGTCTTGTGCAGAACAATTAGTCTCTGGAAGGCAAAGACACAAAGTACTACTAATGGAAAGGAAAGATTCGTAGAAGACTTGGATAGTTTGTACTATTACATAAGACTAAATGTTAATTATGTAACAGTATGACTTTATAAGGGAGTTGATTTTTCACTTTGCCGGAGGCGAAGTTTTGCTCACAGGATGTGACATGTGTTGCAGGACATTTATCTCCATAACCCAAACGTGAAATGGGATGATATCATTGGCCTGGATGCAGCTAAGAGGCTCGTCAAGGAAGCAGTTGTTTATCCTATAAGGGTAAGGCACTAAATAGATGGAAACAGTTGTTGGTCTCATTAACATTTGTCTTGTGATTAGAGTGGGGGTCACATTTTCCACCAATTTTGGTGCTTTTGTAGGCATTTCCTGCTATAACTGTTCCCGCTTCATAGAAGGGGCATTCTTGTACAGGAAAACATCCTTTTAGTATAAAAACTGAAGGTTGGGTCCTATCCATTGACACTTCTGGCAGTGTAAAAGGCTCAGGGTTTGGCCTATGCTAATTCAATGTGAGATAATGTATAGAAGAGAATATCGTTGAAGAATTGAAGCATTTGAGTGATACACTTAAAACAATTTCAGATGGTCAGTGTAGTATTTTTCTCAATACTCAGGTTGAGTATATTGCATTGTTTTGTTTCTTCTCTGTTCTTAGATTCCCTGAGTGCAGTAGGAGCAGCAGGGGTAGGGCTTACAACCCCTTGTGTTTTGTTATAGATAATACAGTAACAATCCATGAATTCCTTTTTGGTTCCCACAGTACCCTCAGCTATTTACAGGCATTCTGTCTCCATGGAAAGGCTTATTGCTGTATGGACCACCAGGTATGGGGATCTTTACAACCCTTCCAGTTTTTTGTCCTTTCTATTTTTGTACTACAAATGAATCACTGATTAACGAGATCTTGCGTATTAATGTATTGCTAAGAAAATGTTCTGTAATTTGAAATGAGAGAGACAGTTAATGTTGGTTACATCTCTCTCTCACTCTCTAACCTGTCCATTTGCCTTTCTCACAATCCCAACAGCTTCTACATTGGAATCTTACAAAATACAATATTTCAGGAGAAACAATAATTAGAATTAGATCTCTGCTGCTCAGCTTAAGCCACATGAATCAACTTTGCCGTGAGATGAAGTCACAGAGTCACACAATTGTAGGAGTTGAAAGGGGCCTCTGGAGGTCATCCAGTCCAACCCCTAGGCGATCCTGGATGGACTTTTCCTACTTAATCTGACTAATAGGAAGATGAGGGGAACTATTCAAAAATTTGAATTGTATTCCTTTAGAAAGTGAATTTCTTCAACTTTTATTTTTTATTTGTTTTTTATTTTGTAGGTACTGGCAAAACATTGCTTGCTAAGGCTGTTGCCACAGAGTGCAACACAACATTTTTCAACATATCAGCATCCACCATTGTCAGCAAATGGAGAGGTGATTCAGAAAAGCTTGTCCGGGTAAGAATGATTATCTTCTTCATTACACAAACATCAGGTTCCTGCTTAAAGAACTGGAGTTTAAAACAGAACTGTAAGGGTGTGTTCCTCTGATACTCATAATCCTTTCTGTCTCAGACAAAACGTAATTCTGTATCTAGTTCTTAAAATGGGAACATCACCTCTGCAGAAGATTTAAAATAGATTCTTGCTGTGGAATTTTGTTTCGTAATGCAAAATGAAGCCAGCAAACATTTTTTGGCTCATTGAATAAGGGATAGCCAAGCAGAACTGCTAACTGAACTTAGTGATTCCTTCAAAGTGCTTCTCAGCCTTTCTGCAAGGGTCAGCTCCAAGGCTCCCTCGTTTCCCTCCTGTCAGAGTAGGGATGGGACTGTCTGTTTTTTGACACACCACCACCCAAAAGGTTTTTGTGAATATGGTACAGCACTTGCAATGATATCACTAAATCTGTGGTATTTCACCACAGAAAAAAAAGGTCTATATGTTCCTACTACTAATGTAAATCTCTCCCCGATTCCAGAAAAAATAGGTGAAGCTTTTTTTTTCAGAATGACAGACCCAGATTTTGTCAGTCAGTTTAGTATTCCATTTTTTAATCTAGCCCTGGTGGTTGAAGCAGTTTATGTTTGTTTCATCAGGAGAAACAAAATAACTGCATAATTCTCAGCAAGGGAATAAGTCCATTTTTTTTCACTATGGTGGGGTTTGTTGGTGTTTTTTTCCTCAAATTCTTATTTAAAAAACTAGAAATGGAGCACCAGTAAAAGACAGTTTATTTAATATCCGATAACAATGCAGGAGTTCCCAGAATCCTCTGAGGGATCATTTTCTTCTATCCCATTATTCTCAGGGTACTCTGATAGGATTTGGCTAGAAAGATTTACATATAAAGACAGGATTACATCCTGTGTTCTTTATATCTCCTTTACAAACCTTTCAGAATTTGAGAGGATTCAGGGACCCTCAGCCTACCCACAGCACATACCTTCTTTTGCCCTACAAGCTTAGTGTCTGGGCTCTATTATTGATCTTCTGTACCAGAGTCTCTTGATGCTTTTTTTAATTTACTTTTCTTTATTTCTTCTGCCTCTTTTCTCTCTAAACAGGTGCTGTTTGAGCTTGCCCGCTACCATGCTCCTTCCACAATTTTCTTGGATGAACTGGAGTCTGTGATGAGCCAAAGAGGCACCATCTCTGGGTAACTAAGAAGAGCACTTCCAGTAGATTTAGGAGAGTATTTGTACCCCTTTTCAATGCATCCTTTCAATAGCATACATAGCATGGAAAATAAGCAAGGGGAGATGGAAACCACAGTGCAATTAGAAAACTATGGCCTAATTGCTGTTACAGAAACATGATGGGATATTACAGCTGAATGTTACTAGCTTTATACAAGGGATAGGCAAGGCAGGAGGGATGAGGAAGTTGCTCTCCACTAGTGTTAAGGAATTTAGAGATTGTGAAGAGCTACCTCTGAGTAACAGAGCTCTCTTCAAGAATACCTTTTGGGGAACACAAGAACTCACCACCCCACAGTGTAAGAAATCAGGCAGAGGAGAAAGGGAGGTGGCATGGCTGAGCAAGGACCTGCTAGTCAGACTGAGGGAAAAGAAGGAAAATTATAAGTAGTGGAATGTAGTGACCTTGGGTGAATACAAGGATGCTGTCCAGACATAAGGAGATAGGATGAGGAAAGCGAGGTGCAGGTGGAATGGAACATGGCAAGGGACATGAAAAATAACAAGAAGAGGTTCTATAGATACTTTGGTCAGAAGAGACAGGCCATAGAGAGCATACTTCCTCTGATAAATGAGAAGAGGGCACTGGCTCCAACAGACATTAAGAAGACTGAGGTACTCAACAAGTTCTTTGCTTCAGTCTTCACTGTCTATCAAGGTTCCCACATCTCTTGTATTCCTGAACCTCTAAGTGAGAGTCAGGGGAGTAAAATTTCTTCCAGTGTGAGAGTAGAGCAAGTACAAGACCACTTCATGAGGCTGAATATGTACAAGTCTATGGGGCCAGATGGCATGTATCGCAGGGTCCTGAAAGAACTGGCTGATGAGATTTCCAAGCCACTCTCCATCATGTTTGAAAAGGCATGGCTGTCAGGTGAAATTCCTGAGGACTGGAAAAAAAACATCACTCTCACTTCTAAGAAAGATAGAAAGGAAGACTCGAGGAACTACAGGGTGGTGAGCCTCACCTCTGTGCTTGGGAAGATCATGGAGCAGATCCTCCTGGAGGACATGTTAAGGCACTTGAGGGATGAGCAGGTGATCTGAGACAGCCAGCACAGCTTCACCAAAGGCATTGTCTGACCCATCTGATGGCCTTCAGTGATGGAGTGACAGCATTGGTGGACAAAGAAAGGGCAACTGATGTTATCTACCTGGACTTGTATGAGGCCTTTGACATGGTCCCACATTCCATCCTTCTCTCTAAATTGGAGAGATATGGGTTTGGAGGGTGGACTATTTGGTGGATAAGGAATTGGTTGGATGGTTGCAACCAGAGGGCTGTGGTCAATGGCTCTGTGTCCAGGTGGAGGCTGTTCACAATGGTATCCCCCAGGGGCCCATCTGGGACTGGTGCTCTTCATGATCAATATCAGCACCATAGAAAGGGGGATTGAGTTCCATCTCAGCAAGCGTGCTGATGGCGCCAAGCTAAGGAGTGCAGCGGACACCACAGAAAGAAGGGATGTCATCCCAAAGGACTTGGATAGGCTGGAACAGTGGGAACAAACCTAATGAAGCTCAACAAGGCCAAATGTGTGGTGCTGCACTTCGGTCGGGGCAATCCCAAGTACGTGTACAGACTGGGAGAAGAACCCCTGAGAGCAGCCCAGCAGAGAAGCATTTGGTGAACAAAACGCTGGACATAAGCAGTGTGCACTTGCAGCAGGAAGGCAGTAGCTGAGCTGCAACAACAGAAGGGTGGCAGCAGGGAGAGGGTGCTGATTGTCCCCCTCTGCTCTGCCCTCGTGACCCCATCTGCTGTACTGCATCCAGGCCTGGGGCCCCCAGCACATGAAGATTGTGGAGCTGTTGGAGCAGATCTGGAGGAAGCCACGAAGATGCTCAGAGGGCTGGAGTACCTTTCCTATGAGGAAAGGTTGAGGGAACTGAGCACGGAATTATGAAAAGCATGCATCTAGAAAGACTGTAACCAGGAGAGAGGTTCAATAATGCATAAACAGTGCTGGTGTATTTGAAAAGTTTTTAAAGACAGCTGTGGGAAACAACAAGTGTCTTGAGAGATGCAAGTAAAAAGCAGCTGGTTTATAACACTTAGCACAGGCAGAAGCAGAGCACAGTGTGACGCAGTGTCCACAGTGGAAAGGCATTTTCATTTAAGGGACTAATTCTGGTGACATTGCCAGGACTTGCAAGGATAGAAGGATTTTATTACTGTCATCCATGGCGTAGAAAATTTATAGTTTAAAACAGATTGAAAAGATCAAACATGCAGGAGAAGCAGAGAAATACAAAAATATTGTTCTGACAGTTTGGAACCCATTAGAGTGTGGGGTGTACATACATCATCCGCTGTAAGTTGTATTCTTACAAAGATATGTAAATTGAATATGCTATATAGTAAAGATACAAGTTATAATAATTGTCAGTTAATAGATGATGGACCAAATTTTGCTTTCATATTGTTTAAAAACTCTCATTAGCATCAATCAGTAATGTATTTCAGTAAAGACCTTTGTCAAAGATTATACAGCTGTTTTTACATAACCCTATTAAGTACTAACATCACGCTGATATGTGGGTGCTTTTGGAGAGGTAATTAAGCCTGAGTGGTAGTTCTTGCCATCTTCAAGCTCTGAGTTTGTCTCTGGATTTCGTCCAAGAGTTACTCTATGTCTGGGACCCGAAGATCCAACCAATTACCTGGATTAACATGTATGTATACATTTTGTTTGGTTTCAGTAATGGTGAGTTCTCCTCACGTTAATGCTCTGAAAACAGTGCATTTAAGTAACCATTAGAAAGCTTGATTTTAATACTTCGATGGTAGCTAATGGAGCTTAATCATGCTTGGAACTGGGGCAAAGTGGGGACGAGGGCTCAGTTGCTGTGAATGACACTGTATAAATAAAGATGATTACTTTAATGCACTGAGCAAATAATGTTTCTCTGAATCTTGGTAGTGGTGAACACGAAGGAAGTCGGCGGATGAAAACAGAATTACTGGTGCAGATGGATGGCTTGGCCAGATCTGATGATCTTGTATTTGTTTTAGCAGCTTCCAATCTGCCATGGTAAGAGATCCAGAGAGTACGTTTTGAATACATTTGCATGAGCTTCTAAGCACAGATAAAGATTTTATTTAGACTTTTGCAGAAAAAGCCTTGATATTTGGTTAAAGCATTTAAAGATTAATTTGGGGCTTTTACTTTTAAACTCTACAATTCTTGCTATTTGTGCCATATGAGAATAATCCATAATAAAGTCAACATATGCCAGTGCTACCAGCTGCTAATATTTAAAATGGAGTATTTGACTTTAGAGGCAAGTTATTTACTATGTTTAAGCTAAGAAGGGTTTCAGCTTGGAACTGTAAGGTGCTTAAAACATCTAGTGCTTAGAAGGATACTCCATAAATAGGAAGTTGGATTTTATTGGTGACAACTGGGACTTTTATAAGTTGAGGGACAAAATTCTTTGGTTTCTTTAACATAATTGGGAATAGAATCATAGAACCATAGAATGGCTAGGGTTGAAAAAGATCACAATGATCATCCAACCCCCTGCTGTGTACAGCATCGCCAACCAGCAGCCCAGGCTGCCCAGAGCCACATCCAGCTGGGCCTTGAATGCCTGCAGGGATGGGGCATCCACAGCCTTCTTGGGCAACCTGTTCCAGTACCTCACCATCCTCTGAGTGAAAAACTTCCTCCTAATATCCAACCTGAACCTTCCCTGTCTCAGTTTAAGACCATTCCCCCCTGTTCTACCACCATCCACCCTCACAAACAGCCGCTCCCCCTCCTGTTTATATGCTCCCTTCAAGTGCTGGAAGGCCACAATGAGGTCTCCATGGAGCCTTCTCTTCTCCAAGCTAAACAAGCCCAGTTCCCTCAATTTCCTCATAGGAGAGCTGCTCCAGCCCTCTGATCATTTCAGTGCCCTGAAAATAGCGTAGCTATTTTCAGTGGATGGATTTGTAGCTCGTAAACCTTTTTTCAAAGTAGAAGATGTTAACACCTATGCAGGGAATTGAAGCACATCAATTAGCTTGCTTTTGAAGTTGGCTTTCATAGGTCTGGCACTCATCTGGATTTGCTTCATTTTTGCTTCACTTCTGGGTAACAACCCGGAAGGTTTTTATGATTAATGCTTTTCTGGCTGGTTCTTACAAGGGTGCCATAAGGACATATATGGGAAAATCCTCTCTGTGTTCATAAAATATAATTTTTGCATCTAAGTAGAAGGTAGGTTTCCTGTGCTGTGAGACTGTGAACAGAGAAATAGATGCTCTGTTTCTCTGCTGCATGGACATGCTCAAAACCTGACTTAATGTCTGCTTGGGGCTCACAGGCTCTTTAACTAGGAGAATGACTGTAAGCACTGAAAATTTATGTGGATGTTAGACGTACAAACAAGCCTGGCTCCTAGCCTGGCTCAATAGTGTGAGTACAAAACCATCAATGGCTTTTATAGCCATAATAGCAGAGTACGCGTGTGAATTTGGGGGTTTATGTTAAGACAATCTCATGAATTTAGATCAGTACAAAATCTACCCCATTTTGTCTGTAGGGATCTACATGAAAGGAATTGAGCACACTGATTTAATTATGTTCTAGTTGGGTATAAAAATGCTGAAAAATAAGTAGCTATAGTGTGAACAGTTAAATTTAAATAACACATCAAGAACCTGTTCATCTCCTGTGTGGTTCATTAGTAGAACATTAGAAATGTTTGTTACTGTAACACATCGTTACCCTTTCAGAAGGAGAAACTGAGCAGTGAAGGTCACCACGTGGCTGGTGGTGGATCTCTGAGTGTACACTTAGAAAAGTATTTTAGGAAGATGGAAACGTAGTGAGAACCTTGAGCATCTTACACCAACAGTGAAGCTCCTAGCCTTGATTAATATGGAAATTTTTCCTTCCAGATAGGTCAGTGGGATTTGAACCTCCTTTAAAGATCTCACCTAACTGTTTACAGATGGTTTTTGTGTGTATTAGGCTACCAGCAGTCTTAGAACCATATAGCCATTAAGGCTAGAAAACAGCACTGCAATCACCAAGTCCAACCACAACCCATCCATGCAGTGGCCAATAACAGCGTCCTCAAGTGTCAAATCTCCACTCTTCTTGGAAAAAGTCTTGAGCTGTGTAGGGGTATTTTATAGCAAAGTTTCAAAACACCCTTGGTATGATAGCACAGAGGTTGTGGCTTCCCAGCACAGCTCTGTATTCTTGCAAACATTCGGTATTAAGTTGGATTTCAAGAGATTTGTATAGCTTGGATATTTATTGATTATAAAAAAAAAATAGTACCAAGCTGCTTTTAGATGAATGAAAAGAAGCCTAAACAAAGCTCTTTACGCTGTCCTAAGCTGCACTGCCGCTATTGATCTTCCCCTTCAGCCTGTGTTTGCTGCCCACCCTTGCTTCCCACTGCTCGTCAGCATGGCACTTTCTATGGACAAAAAACTTGTCCATAGAAACAAACTGGAAATGAAAATTGTTGTTTATCTCGTCTATCTCCATGATATATGGCAGTGCTAGGAAGGCGTGATGCCTTATGATGTCAACCTTGGAGAGCACTGAGGAGCCACCCACCCACTCCCATAGGAGATGTATAGGTTCTTCATGCAGGGATTTGTTAATAACCTCTGAGCTGTTACTTCATATAATTTTGGGGTTGGTGTAGTGCTTATTATTCTGTTCTGGTTGTTGTCACTAAGCTGTACATTTGATCACTAACAGAACAATTCACTCTTAAGATAACAAAAATATGTATTTTCATTGGACAGAGGGACTCCTGATCCCTCTGATGTGAGAGCTAGGCATCCTGAGGTCTGCAGAACCTGGGCTGGCACCTTCTTGGAGTAGTGTTTGTATGTAGACTTTGCTGGAAAAAGGGTTTCACTCAAGGAATCAGTGTAGTCTTTGGTTTGAAAGAAGAAATTTGTCATGGAAGCTTTGAGAAAGGAACAGAAAGAATCAAACTTGTTTCTTTCAGGCTTCATCGATTCATCACAAGGAAGTGAAAATGAAGGGTATTCCTTTGAATACTCAAAATTCCATTAGAATTCTGGCTCGTTGACACAACAACGCACTGAGGTGATTCCTGTTCTCTGCTTGCAGGGAGTTGGACTCTGCCATGCTGCGGCGGCTGGAGAAGAGGATTTTGGTTGACCTCCCAAATCAAGAGGCACGGCAGGCAATGATCCAGCACTGGCTGCCACCTCTGAGCAATGGTGGAGGAGTGGAGCTGAGAACCGACCTGGACTACAGCTTGCTGGGCCGGGTGAGGAGCAATGCAGCAAGCACTCAAGGTCCCAGCTCACCAAGCTGGGAGCACTTCCAATCTATTGGGGTAATGAACAGTTAATTGCATAGGGAAGGTTTGCTCCAGCTTCACTGCTGCAGGAGAAAAGAGCACTCAGACAGGAATGAGACCCACAAGGAAACTGGGCTTGCTTTATTCAGCCCCTTATCACTTCCTAAATTCTTTGGAAATACCTACAGCTTGTCCAATCTGACCATTTTTACTTTTGTTTAGTGAAAGTTCCCTATTTTGTTTCATAAAGGAAGAAGGGAAGAGATGCTTTATTAACAGGGAAGATGAGGACACAGAAAGGTGAGTTTTAGTTTACCTACAGAAAATTAGGAAGAAAATTTTCATTATTTTCCTTGCACCTCCAAGGTGCAAGGAGTTGGACTCGCTGATCTGTGTGGTCCCAACACAAAACATTCTATGACTTGATGCTTCTAAATGCCATTGCTTTCTGATTTGTAAGCCTGTAAGCTGTAATGTATCGTTCTGTTGTAGGAAACCGATGGGTACTCTGGCTCAGACATCAAACTTGTGTGCAAGGAAGCAGCCATGAGACCAGTGAGGAAAATTTTCGATGCCCTTGAAAACCATCAACCAGGTACACAGCTCCAGTTGGAGAATGGGATCTGGGAAATGCTGAGCTACTGCTCCAAGTCTGGAAATTCTAAACTCCAGCAGGTGGAGCTCTGTCATCTGCTTAGAAAAATTCTAACCTGTATCTTCCTAAAACATCTACCCAACCACATCTGAAATTAAGCCTGTTTTTTGTCAATATCCATGCTCTTTGCATACATATGAATTTTTCTTTATCTCACTAAGTTCACTGTTTCTTGGTAAACAAGGCAGGATCATAAAAGAGTGTCTCTTGGTGCTGAAAACCATGTTGGCTCTATTTTCTGCAGGTAACAGTAACTTAGCTACAATCCGCTTGGACACGATCACAACAGCAGATTTCCTGGATGTGATCACCCACACCAAACCTTCAGCAAAGAAACTCAGCCAGAAGTACACAGCTTGGCAGAGAGAGTTTGAATCGGTCTGAGAAGAAAAATCCCCAAAGACTGAGTACTTCAAGGACTTTCACTATCCAAAATGGCAGTTGTGTCACCTCCAAAGGACTGAGTGGTGATGGAGAAGGGAGTGCTGAGTTTCTAGGAGAAGAGAAACCAATAGAAAATGTCAAAGGACATGAAAACTCCAGCCTAAACTTCAAGTATAAAGATCTAAAGATGGATTGCTTTTCAGTCCTTATTCTCAGTAGCTGTTTACAGGTTTGGAGTCCAAGAACCGGAGCAGGTGATGAGGGTAACCCTCCTTTCTGAGACTCACTAAAACATCACAATCACCACAGCTCTGCAGAAACCTGTGTGCCTTTTTAACCAAGCCTAAGTAAGTGATTGCTTTCAATGAAATTGAGCTTAACGGTGCCTGGTACATTTGGTTGGTTTGTTATTTTCATATGAAATCGGAGTCGTAGCCTATTACTTACTGGTTGTTTGGGTTATTTCCAAGGTGGAAAGGGCAAAGGATTAGAAACAATTTGGAGTCGTGGTAGAAAAGCAATATAATCCAGCATAATCATGAGAGAAATTTCTTCCCAGGATTTTACTTAAGAGATCTCTCACCTCCCTGACCTGACTTGGACTGCAGTCCACAAACCTCCTGTATGCAGTCCACCAACAAACGACACAGATTCAGAAGTGCTGGCAGAACAGCGGATGTTTGAATTTATTCACAGCTGTAGGTTAACCTAACTGCAAGTAACCCACCACCAGGCTGCAGCCAGACTATCTTTCATTTAAGGCAAGCTTCCCATTCATTCATTCATCACAGTGATTTTTTGTTAACAAAGAATGAGCATGGCTCATTAACACAAACCTATATTATCAATAAGCTTAATACTTCAGTACTGTATAATTACAATCTAGTAATTTAAGACTCAGGAGCACTATAAAACAACTGTAAAGGACTTCGATTATTACAGTTTGCAAATGGACCAGAAAAGCTATTTCCCATCATTACAGAGTTGGTTCATATTGGTGTGTTTAACACAGAGGAGAAGCAACGCACACAACAGAATTAAATTTCATTTTACAGCTCTACTAACCAACTGTGTAAAAACTTGAATATGTCCCCACGGCTCACAAAGGGTTTTTCCCATAACATTAAAAAGAAACAAAAGACAGTAGTGACATTTTGGAACTGTAGCGTTAATAGGACCCTGCTGAAGTCTAACTTACTTTAAAAATTCAAAGTCTAAGGCATTTAATATCAGTTTTTGTTTGAGTACCATTCTTTTTAATAACAGCATCTAATTAAAACATCTGTACACTGCTGACACTTTTAATTTTATGCAAAATCTGAAAAACAAAAACCAGGATCTGGTCCAACAAGAGTAAAGATGCTAACAGTAGTTATTATTAACAATGGCACTATTTTAATATAGAAGTCACTTCTAGAGGCTATTATCTCTGCCTTGAAATTAGAACAAAGAGATCACTGCAGACTGACTAAGGTGTTGTTAGGCTTTTACAGTTTACTTGAGTGCTTCCAGTGAGTTTTCCAGTTTAGTTTATTCTTAACACTTTTCAGAGTGGGCTTTCCATCAGCTATTTCATGGAAACTGAAAACAGAACTCTGTACCACGTTCCGTGCACCCTTCAGGAAAGCAGTTGTGCTGTAGCCTTCCTGTGCTACCTGTCCTGCCGATCATCCGAGGTCCCTAATCACTGCCTCAAGAAATGAGTGCAGGAAAAGAGCTGTGTTGTGACCACGATGGGGCCATGCACCACTACTCTTCCTTTCACACCTTGATGGGAAGGAGCTTATGGCTAGGTTTCTGATGAGCATGCACTGATCCTGTGACCTTAATTTTGGAAGCAAGAGTAAATTATGTGAACCAGGTGTTTCTTCAAACTATCCAACTTCTCATAGCAGATGCTCTAGGATATGTTCTACTGCCTCTGGGAAACTCTCACACGTTAAGTAAGGGGCTGGATTGATTTTGTTTTCATCCGCTGGTCGATATTTACCTAGAAGAAAAGGTAAAAAAAAAAGGTGCACTTACTCCTTTGGATTTCTTTTTTTTTTGCTCTAAAAATTGCAGTCTTCTGTGATCAGCAACAGTCACACATGACAACAGGAATGCCGATCTGCTGTCCTGCAACAACATCTCCCAGTTTTTCACTACAAGAGAAAGACCTTCCCTAGCCCACGGATCTATCAGAGTAATGCTGGTAATTCCTTCTGTCTGAAGGAAATGGCATACATAACTGCCAGCAAAATTACTATGTGGAATGCCATCAAGGTCCTGAATGAACAGAGGTTACAGTGATACGACTGATTTTGACAATCAAAATGTTACAACAACAATTCTCTAGGTTCCGGAGGCTCAGTGCACAGCTTTGTTTCGGGCACGTGAGCTGCCAGTACCCAGGACAAGATGATAGGACTCACCACTGTCTCATGAAATGACCAATTCATCACGTACTTACCAGTCCTGACCAAAATCCCACGCATGCCTGCATTCTGGGCCCCACCAACATCATCCCTGCAGTCCTGGGACGGAAGAGAACAGTTAGGTTGTGGGCAGGGACACAGTTTCTCAACAAGGCTAGGGAGCCCCTCTGTACACTGGAGCTGAGCACTGCACTAGCAGGCAGGTGGTAGGGTCCCCACGTACATCACCAATCATGACGGCCTCCTCTGGGGCACAGCTAGTCCCTCGTAAAGCTTCCAGGAAGAACGTTTTCTCTGGCTTTCCCACCACTGTTGCTTTGACATCTGTGGCATATTCCAGTCCAGCTACAAAAGGTCCAGGTCCCAGAGCCAAGCCGTTTTTTTTCTTGAAATACCTGGCTTTATGTATAGCTATAAGAGGAGCACCATCCAAAATCAACCTGAAGGATGAAGAGGAAAATACAAAAAGTAAAGATATTCACAGCTGAAGTTCTGAGTCCTTGAAGTTGATGACAAAACACCCACTAACTTTCATGGGGACCCAAATAGGTCTTCCAATGGCATTTAGAATCATGGAATCATAGCAAGCTAGAGAATTAAGTAAAATTTCAGCAGAGATGGGTGTTCCTGTGAATCTCAGGTAGGAAATGGATCGTTTTGCATTGATTTTCTATTTCCGTATTGAAAAGACACAAAGATATGAGGCACATTTGTGTTCCACTGGATTCCCCAGTTAAGTATGCTTCAGAAACAGAGGTGGATTTGGGTTTCTTCCCATAGGCAAAAATCCCAAGTGGAAAACAGCTGCAAGCAACTGGTCACTGGATTCCCAACAGTTCTGTGTACCATAAAAGGGTTCTCATGTGCATCTCCCAGCTGGCTAAACTGTTAAAAACCTGAGTGGGACATGGGACTGCCTGTGAGTGGAGAAATGGAAGAGAAGTAATTAAGAAATGACCATAACTTCTCTGATGTCAGTCAGCTCCTCATTTAATTATCACAAAATATTTCTATTGGATCAATGCATTCCAAAGCAAGCTGTCAGAAGAGAGTTGGCACATGTATCTGAGAGCAGCCAGCTATGTTCAATGGGAGGATGCCTCCAGGACACAGAAGGATTTAATCTGACAGTGGCACTACAACCACTTGCATTCAGCAGTTTACACGAAGGATCTTGCCTGAGAGGATTCTTTTAAATGGCATCAAAATCCCATGTATATGAGAAAAGAAATTTAGTATCAGTCATTTCAAATGGTGCCTAGAGAAGGGACTTACGCTACGTATTTTGTTTTGGGACTCACGCCAGGTTGGATTTAGCCAGCCTCATGATAGACTTCAACCCAGCAGCTGCCTACTAGCCCAGTCATACTGGGCTCTTCACAGTCAGTGACTGAATTATCTGAGCAGTACAGGACGAGGCATGTGGTCCTGACACCAGGCTGAAGAAAAGTAGGATGCTGCCAAGCACTGATACTCCTTCAAACCAAACAAAGCTGACACCAGCAGAAGTTCCTCTGCCAACTTCCCTGTGAATGGGAAATGAGGGCTAGATGCAGCAAGGGACTCGCATCCCAGCCTCTTCAAGTGACAGCTAATGGTTAAGGGTGCAAACCCATAAAAGTTAGCATCATCCTCACTACGTAGTGGTGATATGGGAATATTTTCTGGCATTGTAGGAACAAGCAAGGAACCACTGTAGGAAAAGCACAAGACAACCACAAGAAGTGGCCGACTTACCGAAAAGCTTTATTCATCATGTCATAGTGAAAGTGTTCAGGAGCCAGTCCTATGACCACTGCATTGGGGTCATCAGTGGCAATCCCTGGAAAATCAGAACACGACAGGGATCATTTTGAATGAGCTGAATTTTGTTTGTACTTAGCAATAGACAGTCAGCAAATGCAACAAGTGAAATTGATCACTTTGCAGCAAAATTTAGCATTTTCTGTCACAGATGTGTCTTGTAGACTGGCTTTATGTATTTTAGAAGTGAAGAAAAGCTTTGTAGAAAAGGTGTGGATCTATACACGGAATATTCTCTGCACTTTCACAGTGACAGCTCAAGCTCCTGGGTCTCCAGAGAGTACAATCAGAGCTGTTTCCTGCACACATCCTGCAGTGAGCTCAGACAGTAAAGCACAGCATGGAGAGATGCCACGTGGATTTGTGACACCACCCGAAAGCATCTGGGTCCATTAACCAAGAATGGATTACATTCATCCATCTGTGACCAACTTTACTGAGAGATTATCTAAGAATAATTCAATAGCAGTCACTAACAGGAATTTAAAACATTCTCCAGTGTACTTCAAAGTTTCAAGAGCAGCACTGAGTGTAACCTGCAGAACAAAGAAACAAAACAACTCATACCCAAATCAAGCAGTGCATAAACTGTTGCCACTGTATTCTGTATTCTTTGTCATTTGACAGAGAATTAGCAACAACTACTGTAAAATTGATGGAAAGATCCCAGATATGTTAAGATCAAACTGATTTAACTTCAGTGAATTCAGCTGCTGTTTCAGCTGTTTCTAAGCCCCCCCCCAGAAAAAAGCCTTACTGAGAACACAAAACATTGCTGGGACTGTATTTCTCTGGATGTGATGTCAGATGGAACAAATGACTAGGTTTCACAGCTTTCACATTTGCAGAGTTCTCCATGAGGTCTCCATTCAGCCTTCTCCTCTAGGCTGAACAAGCCCAGCTCCCTCAGCCTATCTTCATAGGAGAGGTGCTCCAGCCCTCTGAGAATCCTCATGCCCTCCTCTGGACCTGTTGGAACAGCTCTGCATCCTTCTTGTGCTGGGGGCCCCTGGATATTGGTAGGTACAATAAATCTCCAACAATCCGATGATAAACATTACTTTCTACACTGTGAATTAATAACATGTGTAAAGTTCTATCTGAATTCCTGCCTATTTGAAGATTCTGACTGCCACTTGGAGCTGTGGAAGGGTGTCAAGAGGAGAGAGCCATGAAGACACACAGTGGTTCAACACCTCCTCCCATGCTGCTCTCTGCCCACCTCACCTGTGAAATCAGGCAGGGCCTTCTCATCCACCAAGAGGAGTGGCCGCACCTGCTTCTGCTCCACAAGATTTCTGGCTGCCGTCAGAGACGTGAAGATTTCATGTTCTGCAATGTCAAAGCCCAGTTTGGTCAGCCTCTCCAGCAGGTCCTTCTTGCACTCTTTGGTGGTGTTGGTCACGAACCGAATTGTAACCGGAGCGCCACGCAGCCTGACGGATGAAAAGCGAAGTCTCAACGCTGCAGAACACTTTGTTTACAGACTGCCTTACATATTACTGAACAGCCAAACCATTTTAGGAGACAATTTCAATGGCATCTCCTTTAATTATTCCCCTATCATCGCCATCTTCTGTTCGTTACTATAGAAACAAATGCTGGTATCAGGATTGTATGGAGTACATCAATATAAAGTTGGTCAATCTGGAAGTCTTGCTTGCACCTGCCACTTCTCTCTCATTCATTCTGCTGCACAGAAAAAAAAATGTACTGACCTTTCACAAGTGTGAACCAGCAAAAAACAAACAAAACTGTTAATTTTCTTTTAAAAAAAACCTTTAACCTCAATACTGAAAGCTAACCCTAAAAATGGAATCTGTGCATTTATTTCCCAATCAAGTTGCAGGACTTTCATTTTGTCGTCTCTTTAGGGAGGACAATGGCATGGATTAACAAGATGCACTGAGCGAATGGATATCCAACACTTTGGTCATGTTTAGTTCCTTACCATTCTACATCTTCAAAAAATAATGACTGACACACAATTATTTGTGGAAAGAACTGCAGTGTCCTAGTCCCTCTGTGAGATTTCCAACCAAACGATGGTCCAGCTTTGCAAAAGCTTAAAGCAGTCGATAAAACTCCAGTAAAAACTTTCCATGCTTAATTCAACCCTACCCATTCTTCCTGACTTACTCTTCCTACTGCCCATTCACCACTTCCTGTTGTTTTTCTTCAGCCTTTGCAAGATGAAATCTCCACAGAAATGGTGTCAGAACAACAACAGAAAGATTCCTGGGGTTGCACAGCCTGCTCTGCCCTCATCTAAGCCACGTGAAATTGATTCACTATGCCATCATTTCTTTAGACACCATTTTCCGAGAAGGAGAAGGCAAGACCTTCAGACCATTTCAAGAAGCATCTTTGTGCAAGCAGTCCTGGCACGACCTATCAGACAGAACAGAAAGAGGCAACTTGCCTTTTAAGAGCTTCCTGCGCACCCGGCACGGCCGAGTCTTCGACGTGCAGCGTGCCACTGAGATCCACCAGGACAGCTTTCAGCGCGCGCCGAGCTGCCATCCTTCATCCCCAGGGAGAAGGCAGAGAAATGAAATGACAGAAAACTGGTTAGCAGACAATGGGTAATAAAAATAAGGAGCTCAGTTAAGCGCCTCATTGGTGCCAAGCCCGGGATTATTCAGAACATTACTCGTACTGTGAAATGGGCCCCTTCAGACAGAGAAATAAAAGGCAGCGTTTAAAAAAAAATGCATAATTGATGGGGTGGTATTTTCCCAAAGACTCTATATATGGAAATCAGGTGCTATTTGTTTGTTAACTGCCTTTCTTTTTCTGCGTCAAAAACTCTCTACGCAATGACGGCAGTTGGGAAGGGGATCATTAGGTCTGCGATTGCTGGTTCAAGGCCTCACAGAGCACATTGCAGCCAGTCCCAGCCACACCAGAGGTGCCGTTCAAGGGAAAACGAATACAGCCCTGCTAAGCTCCGACGATAAAGCTCAGAGCACTCTCAAAAAGCGGATGTCGTTCATTTTGTTCCTCGCAGTTGGATCTGCAGAAGGGACAGAACAGTTGTGTGCCAGTTGTGTGGGGATTCTGCAGGCTACCAGCCTGGAGGTTCCTGGCACCTGGTGACTCTTTCTTGCAGAAGAGGCAGTCCAGCAGCTTTTCCGCATTACAGAAATAGGTTGGAGAGATTCGGCGTGACACAGAAGCTTTGGCACTCCAAAGCTGGGGAAGAAAGCAGTCAGGTTACGTCCAAGTCTAAAAAGCTGTCGTCGGAAAATACGTGACAGCTGTGCTGTGAGCCCTGCAGATTGCTCTGCAATCTGCAGCCCTGCTGAGCAAACGTCCAACATAGCAGCTTTCCTTCTGCCTGCCAGGCGGTAACGACCACCGACCCAACGGCTTCCATCTTCTGCTGAGCTGCTTCAGACAGACTACATGACTGCACGGGCTTGCTAGAACAGTGTGACTGAATAGACTGAACACAACAGAACTGTGACTGAGTATATTTAATATCCCATCTGAAAAGGCTTAACACAGCGGTTTGGGTTGAAACGGACCCCACTAACAGCCGCAGCAGCGGGACTCAAATCGCACCGCGAACGGCCGGACCCCGACCCCGACCCCTCCCCCCGCCGCACCCACCTGCCGCTCAGGGGTCCTCGCGGGGTCCTCACAACGCCGGACTGCCCTGCAGAGCGCCGGTACAAGCGAGGACGGCGCTACGTTCGCGCAGGCAGTGCGACGGGCAGCCCGATGACGCCGTGAGGACCCGTGCGGGGCGCTGCACCGTCACGTGTGAGGACGCGGGGGTTGCGGTGACGCGGGGTGCGAGCGCCGGCCTGCAAGTTCGTTGTGTTTATTCGCCGTTTGGCGCAGCACCGCACGAGATCCGAGGGGCAGAGGATGCGGATCGAAAGCCCGAACGATGCAGCGTGAGGGAAACGCGAATTTGGGATGCGCGCAGTTCGAGTCCCCGTTTTATCTCAGCGTCGCCGCCGCGCAGAGCTGCCGTTCCTTCTTGCTGCGCTCGTCTCATCTATTTCAGAACAATGAGCCACGTCTGTAAACCGTGCAATGAGACCTCAGCCTCCTGAGAGGGCAGGTGGAAGCAGGGCGAGGTCCTTTCTTTACCTTACTTTCAGAGCTGCAGCTCGTAGTCTTTAGCACTTTAAGAACCACTTTAGGACCGTACAGAGACAATGACGTGCCAGCAGTGCTGCAAACCAATGGGAGCATCCACCACTGCTGCTTCCCGAGCACTGCTTGGCCTGCCTTCTTCCCCACGCTGGAGTACAACAAGGCAGGCAGATTCTTTGCAAACTGTTACCTGTTTTTGAAGCTTTCCCCATATGCACCATCCAGTTCCCATGAATCACTGAAACACAAAATCGTTCGGGTTGAAAAAGATCTCCAAGATCCCCAAGTCGAACCCCATAGCGTGCATCCCTGCTGTCCCCTGGTGTGTCCCCAGCTGCCACATCTCCATGGTTCTTTGCCACCACCAGAGATGGCGCCTCCACCAGTGAGGAGTGCTACCAGCACACCACTGCTCCTCAGAATGCAGTTTTCCTAATAGCCAACCTGAAGGAAGACAGATACACAAAACCAAGTGATCTAGACCATAACTTACCTCTTCCACAGAGGTTGCCGTAAGGAATCTTTTCCAACAGGCTTACCTATTCCAGAACCCAGCGTGACCAATTTGTGCCTCTGGACATTGTGTTGGGTTCTCTCCAAGGCCACAATCCGACTTCATAGCAGCTCTCTGCTCTGAGCACGTGCTGAGGGTATGAAAAAAGCCACGTGTTCTGAGAACAGTAGCTCTGCTACCAGGAGCTTAGAGATACTCCCACTGCGCATGGATACAAAGACTTAGGAAAGAGAGTGCTTAACTTAGAAATTCAAAATTTATTTGTAAATTTTCGCTAAAAAAAAAAAAAAAAAAAAAAGGAAACAACATAGACTCTTCTCCTGGATATACTCTACTCTAAAAAACACTGCAATTGGAGATCATTAAATTCATTTACACATAGTACAGATTATCCTTGTATACAACAACAGTGAATGCTACAGTTGCCAAGACGCCAGAAGAAGAGATGACAAACTGAACTGCTTTAAAACAATGAACCTGCTGGCTTCCTTTCGCCTTCCCTACTTTAATAATAAGCTAAATCAACTTCAGACACTTGATCAAAGATGAAAAGACACAAAGTCTAACTTTTCTAAGAAGTTATTGGAGTCATCGTAAATTCATGACTGCTACCTAACACCAGGCCGAATGCAGCGTTAACTGAGGCCACCTCCTTACTGTGGTCATCACTAATTTATCTGTGAAAGAACTGCAGGATTCTCACTTTCAGTAAGCAGTTAAGTGAAAGGAAGACAGAGAGAAGCAGCAGCCTGCAAATTCGCTGTTTTTAGCAAAGAACTGCATTTGGAAAGGTATTGCTCCCACATTACCCGAGAACCTCCAAACAGAGCAGCTCCCCATTCCCAACACACTGCTCAGCCCAAAGGCTTAACACACAGAAAAAATAACAGTGCTTGACAGAACAGTAACAAATGCTAAACGTGAACAGGACCTGCTAAATAAACACAGAGTTGCCTTAATTTAGGTACAGCTTTTTTAGATTTTGCATAGCAATTGCTCCTATTTTCAACCTGTTTCACATTGAACATCATTGATCTGAGAAGAGAAAAATCCTAGCTTTGGTCAGACCAGGAAAAATTTGTTACTAATTTGTGCTAAATCACAAATCTGCCTATCTTCATTTCACCTCCTGTGGTACTTCAATAATTTATAACACGTTTGGAGCCTAACTCGTATTCCCTTAAAACAGAACTATGGCAATAACTGAAATAAAAACCACTGTGATTTTTAACTGGGAAGCAGTTTGTTTCTGAACTCTCAATGCTAACCAAAGGAAGTTCATCCCTGAGTAACAAGACACTTCAAACCTGCTTCTACCTACAGCCACCACGATATGTCACTGACACCAGCAGACCTCGTCACAATCCAACAGATTTGCAGCGTTGCTGCGCGGATCCCATTACCTTGTTTAATGAAACTGAAAGTCAACATTAGGAAATAGGATAAATACAAACAGTGTCTTTTATTATTTTAAGTTGAACGGCAAACTGACAGTTAAACCGTGCTGTATCCCCGGAAAACTCAGAGCAATGAGGCTAGCAATTCGCTTCTTTGGATGTCCAAAAGATTTTGCCAACAGGAATCTTCAACCGAACAAGAGGAGGAGCACAATTGTCACGGAGTTCACAGCTATCAGTGGCACTGTAGAGAAAACAAGAGGAAGTTTGAATCTGTTTCCTTCTGTGCATCACAAACTGATGCAGTTTCACAGTGTCACCCTTCAGGGAACAAAATCTATGACTGTTGAAGACATTTCCCTATGCAGAGTCGGGATCAGTGGAAGGAGCCAGGACCGTGGCCTGGTGTTTCTCCACTTTCTCTCTGCCTGCCTTTAGCACGATTCAGAAGAAGTTTCGTGGTGAGCAAGACAATATTTGCTACAGGATGACAAACAGAAACAGCAGCTTTGTAGAAAGGAAGGGGCAAATGCTGCCACTATTTCCTTAAAGTACAGCAACAAAGCTTCACAGGCAGTGGCTGCTTGTACCAAACGACCGCCGTCATCTCACCTCTCATCACGGTCCGTATGGATCGAATGAGGTTCGTCAGCTGTGCTTTGATTCCCGGTTCCTCTCCGAATCCTCCAATCCCTTGATCGCTTCCCCAGCCAACTGTGCACCGTAAGAACAGCCACGTTAAAAAGCAAAGAACAACCACCACCCCAGAACCGTCCAACAGATGCAACATATCAGCAATATCAGTGCCGTGAGCTGGAAGGGACACACACACACACATTGTGGAGCCCAACAAACGCAAACTCTGCATCTGAGAGCTGTGCTCAGCGCTCCCTGAGCCCCAGAAGATGTGGGGAAGGCCCTTTTCCAAACGGCCAACCTCCCCTCCCCACAGAGCCCATCTGAAGGCAAACAAAGCTGTGGCATGCACGGCGGGACGCTCCAGATGGAAGGACCAGGAGCTCTGGAGACAGTGCTGGGGATTTTCTCGTCCTGCTTTGGCCTGGTTGGAGAAATGAGGGCAAAAGCAGGAAACAGGGAGCCCTGTTAAAAAAAATGGTGGCAGTCTGCAATTCTGCTCTGTGGATTCTCCCTGCTCTGCGCTTTGGGTTTCTTTTGTTAAGGAAGAAAACAGCGTTCACCCCATGTCAGCATCCCGACACAGAGAGGGCATGGCGGGAGTAAATAGGAAAAGGCCTAAAGAGAGTGGAAAAAGGCAGGCGCAGAGCCGGCAGGAGGGATGCTGAGCACAAAATCCAACCGCAGGGCGAACGCAAATCCCAAAGCATCGCGTCTCTCCCCCTCCCCCCAATTTCGAAGCGGGACGCGAGCAGAATGGCCCGGGGCCCGGCAGCCACCTCCGGGCATGGCCGGGGGGCCGGGAGGCGGTGGGGGCAGGGGGTTCTCACCGTGGCGAAGGAAGCGCTCCTCGTGCAGCACGGCGATGGCATTGACCACCAACAGCCCGGCCTGCAGCAGCGCGTACAGCGTGAACGCCATAGTGAGGCGGGGCACGGACGTGGCGGGGAGGGCGGGGCCTGCGGGAGTGGGCGGGGTTTAGTGGCGGAATGGGCGTGGCCTGTAGGCAATGGGCGGGGCATGATGGAGTGGGCGGAGCATGGTGGAGTTGATTGTTCGCTGCAGAATGGGCGTGGCCTATGGTGGAATGGGCGTGGCCTTTGAGAGTGGGCGGAGTCGGGGGCAGAGCAGGGGGAGTTAGGAGGGGTGAGAGCCGAGTGCAGGCAGGAATTGGGGGAAAATGACTTTTTTATCTTCTTTAAATTCCCTGTAATGCGCTGCTCTCCATGTGTGGGCACTTGCTTTGTTGCTCACATCGCTCGTTGCGGCTGATGGGGCATTGTGTGACTCCAGTTCTAATCTCTCAACAATCAAACGTACCATGAGCTCCTTCCTTGGGCAGCAATAGAAGTGTGACTTGTTTAGGGCACAGCAATTGGCATCATCGCCGTTATAGGACTCACAGTCAGGACGCAGCTCTCGGTAATGGATTTTGGATTTGGACAGTGCTGTTTGGGATCCAGGGATGGACTCAGTGATCCCTGTGGGTCCCATCCAACTTGACTGTATGATTTTGTGACTCTGTGATATAGTTTTATGCTCTAAATAATCATTAGCAATGCATTAGAACTGTGTTCAGGCCTGGGGCTCCCAGTACAAAAATGTGGAAGCTGCTTGGGCAGGTCCAGAGCATCCGCAGAGGTGCTCAGAGAGCTGGAAACCTCTGCTGTTAAGGAAGGCTGAGGGAGTTGGGCTTGTTCAGCGCAGAGAACGTTCCAGGAAGACCTCACTGCAGCCATCGGTACTTCAAGGGAGCTTAACTGACAGGTGAGAGACTGAGTTTACATGAGCAGATATTGATAGGACAAGGGGAATGGCTTTAAACTAAGGAGGGCAGAGGATGGTGAATCCCCAGCACTGCTGCCCAGTGCTGTGGGTGCCCCATTCCAGGAGGTACCTGAGGCTGTGGATGGGCTCTGGGCAGGCTGAGCTGGGGGGCAGCCAGCCCACGATGGGGTCTCTGTGATGTTTCTTCCAACATACAGTGACAGATACTAGAGGTCACTGACAGGCATGTCTGGTAGCCACTAGCATCAAGTGGAATTTCCTGGGCTACCTTCTACAGCATCCTGTCTATCTCTAGCTGCTGACCTCAATGTTTAGACTAATGTTTAGAATTACAGTGCTGGGGAAAAAAAAAAAGAAAAAAAAAAAAGTTTTTTTAAAAGAAGTATTTAAGTTATGGCTTATTATTTTTACCCATCATTAAGATGTATTTCCAAAGAGCAGCTACTATAATGCTTACGTAAACTTGACGTGATTTTCCCCTTTCCAAAATCCATCATGGCAATTCAACACCCACACGAGTCTTAGATCTGAACTATCACACTGCGTGGTGGGGGGAAAACCAGACAAAGCTGCTGCATTAGGAGGAAAGCAGTTCTTTTCCTCATTAAGGTGTTATGTTTCATTGCAGTAAATTCCTCCGATGTCATCTGCAGAGTGCAGTCCATCACCAAAAGGAAGAGTTCAAAACCACCCTACAGATGCCAGAGGATTACAGCTGAGGCTGGGGTAGTATTGAGAAGACCTTGCTATTTTTCATTCTTTTACATTTTGCATTGGTTTATTGTTCAATATCATCAAACAGAACACATTTCCTGGGGCTAAACCATCCTCATCTCCTCCAATGAGACTAAAACTTCTAGCATGCATGTTGTCAAGATTATGCTGCTTTATTCCTGGTGAGCAAAGAACAGAAGTAAAACAAATGCAAAATTCAGAACCTACACATCCATTTATTGGTGCTATTTCCTAAGTTAATTGTGCTTGGCTACCTAAGCACAACAATTTCTGATTGCTGTTTGTTGTCTGGTGTGTACATAGACATTATCCTGCTCTCCATGTGTTGGAATTCCACACTGGAGGTAAGAAAGGGAATAAGAGATACAAAAATTTATTCTCTGAAAGAGCGTTGATGCAGTGGCACGGATTATGCAGGGAGGTGGTGATGCCCCTATCCCTGGAGGTTTTCAAGAGCCATGGAGATGTGGCACTTGGGGATGTGGTCAGTGGGCATGGTGGGATGGGTTAGGGTAGGGCTTGGAAATCCTAAAGGACTTCCAACCTTCATGATTCTGTGATTCTATGATTCTATGAAAGAAAGTTTGGTTTCCACCTCAGCTGAGTTGCTCAAATTGTCACTTTGGTGATTGAAGAAGGAATGAATGATGCCAAATTCCTTTTGGGGGAACACTCATTGGTCAGAGGACTTTCCTCCTGCTTCCTCTGGAAAACAATGCTGGAGGTAGGCCACAAAAGTTTATAAGATAAATGGAAAATTACATACCCTACAGGCAGTGAACTGATCAACCCCCTCTCCATGCCAAATCCCAGGGGCTGGCCTGTTCCTTGTACCTGAGTGGGGAGAACAAGCTCATTCCTCAGCAAGCTGATGTCACACCAGAGGCAGAGGTCACCGGTGCTGTAGCTCTTAGCTTAAAGATTAATAGATAGTATCTTCCTTCGGATTGTAAAGATGGACAGATTAAAAAATACGTCACAGACCTGGATATTTGACCTGCAGTGTGTCCAATAGTGTTGGCACAGCCACAGTCACATAGCTTGTTGTGAACCATGGATAGAAGGCTACAATTTGTGTGTGAATCAGAAGGATTTGGGAATCACCCTAATTACCTGAATAAAAATCACCTGAAATTCCTCCATGTTTTTTTCTCATGACTCATTCGACAGAACGAGATAATATGGAGAAAAGTAAATCAATAGTACACTTCTAATACATCACACAGATAAGGTGAGTGAATCCATACCTTTTCTCCCCTTCCAAAAAAAAAAAAAAAAAAAAAATCAAAAATCCCCAGTTTCCTTTTTTTTCTAATACTGGTGTAGTACAGGTTGGCAACCTGAAGTCATGGTGGAGAAAATGTAGGACACACCAGCCCATGGCTTGCCAACGTGCACCCCAGAACCTTTTGTGCATGTTTGTCTCCAGAATAAAGCAGCTGACAAGAGGGGCCATCACTGCTGCAGTGGTGAATTCGGGGGTGTGATCGGCACAGCAAAGGAGAACGGGAGCTCAGAAAAGGAAATTGCCTCTTCTGTACCTCCAGTGGGCCTGCTGGAAGCGTGACTCAGGCCAGGCAAATTCACTGTTGAAATCTTATCAGAGCAGATGTTGGTCACCGCAATGTTTTCCATGGCAACTGTGGGTGCACTGAGGTCTTTGGAAGAGTAATGTGGAGTGCAGCGGCTGTGAGAGAGAAATGGAACAAAGCCGATCACTGAGTATCACATCATGGGGAGCCATTTGCAGTTTGAACCCAATCCAGTTTATAAGAGGATATAATCAACAGCAGTGTGGTACTGGTGATAAGATTAATCACAGAGATGTCCTTTCCCTCTTATCTTTTTGTCCTTTTAACACAAAACACTTTTTCTGATCCCATCTCCCTCCTCCGTTTGGCCATAGCTGCATTCAAACTGAAGCTCAACAAAACAAAATTTTTGTTTGGAGAGACTTCTCAGAGCACATTTTCTATTTTTTTCCACGTGGAAATAAGCATCTCAAGGAATGTTCCTCATCTCGTGACTTTTTGAAAAAAAGACAGTGGTGAGAACTTAAGGGTCGCTTCATTTTCCTCAGTAAAACATCACTGTGTATCTCCATGTATAAAACCTGGGCAGCGGTTGAAGAACTTGGAATCATAGAATAGTTCATGTCTACGTATCTCATTTAACCTCTGGTTATTTATAGATTAAGGATTTTTTAGTATTTGTCAGATCTGGAATATTAATCTCAATTTAAGTGGAATCTAAAGAGTTCGTAGGTCCTCTTTGGAATCATAGAATAGAATCATAGAATCCTTAGAGTTGGAAGGAACCTCTGGGGGCCATCTAGTCCAACTCCCCTGCAATGCACAGGGACACCACAGCTCCCTCAGGTTGCCCAGAGCCTGATCCAACCTGGCCTTGAAAGTCTCCTGAGATGGAATGCAGCCCAGGATATGGTTGGCTTTCTGGGCTGCAAGGGCACATTGCTGGCTCATGTCCATCTTCCCATCCACCGGTACCCCCAGGTTCAGCAGGGCTGTTCTTAATCCTTTCGTCCCACAGCTTCTATTGCTAGTGAGTACAACTTTAACTCAACCTTCCAACTCAAATGTGGAGTGCCTGCACTTGGAGACATAGTTGGTGGGCATGATGAAAATGAGTTAAGGTTAGACTTGGCAATCTGAGAGGTCTTTTCCAACTTTAACGATTCTATGATCACTGCCCACATTTCTTTGGAGAGCCCAGATCATCTCCTCTGCCACAGCACTCACCTCTGGAGAATTCTCACTATGACACTGATTACAAAGAGCAGCAGCAGACCTCCACAGAGAGACAACATGACGATTTCATAAATAATGGGTGACGAACCTTGAAGAGCAGATGGAAACCACAGGTGAGATTTGTCAATGAACAGCTTTAGGAAAAGCAGCTTTCTGGGAAACTGTCACAGGTTCTTTTCCTGCAAATTGTAGGTGGAGGGTGTAATGGCCTGAGTTTGCACTGGAGAGGTTCAGGTTTGCAATTAGGAATGATTTCTTCTCAGAAGGAGTGAAAATACACTGGCACTGCTGCCCAGGGAGTGGAGGAGTCACCGTCCCTGGAGGTGTTCAAGAACTGTGGAGATGTGGGAATTAGGGACGTGGTCAGTGGGCATGGTGGCTTGAATTCCCCCATGCGTACCCATCTCCAAGCTTTTCACTCCCCTATTCTCTTGTGACAGCTCGTTTCATTTCCACTGTCCTTCCCTCTCTAAAACTTCAACAGGGATAGATTGAATACAGCTCATTCATTCGTTCCTTTTGAGCCCACTCTCTGATAAATCCTCAATGTTTGACAGCACTGCTATTACTTGGGGCCTCTCGGAGCTGTTACTTCACCAACAAACACGGCAATAGTGATTTTAAATGCCAGTGGAAACAAACAGGAAAATAAAGCACCTTCTTCCTTGGACA